GGGTTTGAACTGCCAGCCTTTTGGTTGGCAGTCAAGTGCCTTAGGCATTATGCTACCAGAGCTCCCTAATTCCCACTAGCAGTTAGATTTTAGTCTTTTTTTCCTATGCATCTATTTTGTTGTTGTTGTTGTTGAACATTTTATCATGGTTTGGGTGAAGGTTTACAGAGCAAATTGGTTTACCATCCAACAATTCACACACATTTTATGCTACCCTGTTGATCTCATAAGGTTGATTGTTCAAAGGGGTGCATACCTCCCTGGTGTTATTGTTCACCTTAAAGGTCTGTCTCTTGTTTGGCTGAAAGTTGAGCCATTGGCTTGAAGGGTGACTAAGGGCCATAGTTTGGAGGGTTCCACCAATCTATCAAACAAGTAAATCTTTTTTTTTTTTAATGATTTGGGTTTTATTTCATATTTTTTCCCATTCTATTCAATGCCTTCTTTGGTGATCCCTTTCAGAGTAGTGGTAGCTGGGCACCAGCTAGTTCTTTTGGTCTCAGGTTGTGGAGACTGAGGTTCATAAAGTCCATTAGTCCTTCGGACTAATTGTTTCCATGTGTCTGATTTCCTTCACTATTCTGTGCTTTGGACAGGGAGAGACCAAAATTTGCACCATAGATAGCTGCTTGGAAGCTTTTAAGAGTGCAGTTGTTCTCACCAAAGTAAAATGTAGAACATTGTTGTTGTGGACTGTGTTATGCCAGTTGACCTTGATGTCCCCTAAAAGTATGTCCTTAGTCCGTGGGCACAGTGACTCATTCCTTCAAGGTAAATCACTAACTAGAGGGTAGACAAGTATTTACTTAGGTGAAGGAAAAGACAATATACAATAAAGGGCTGGTCAGCACAAAATGATCAAGGCAAAGGAAGCCAGTGGGAAGAACACAAGTGTTAAAGGCAGCAAAGGTAAATACTGTCACATACACAATCCTACAACAACAGTAATAACAGTACTCCACAAGTGGATACATAGACATGCAAGCTGAACAGGTGTGGGAAGGCAAATGGGACTACATCAATAAATATATACAGTTTGGCAGAGGCTATTTCTACATATGTATTTATATGTGCTGCAAATATATCCATGAATATAGTAGAGCAGACAGGGGGCAAACTTAGGAAAACTCCTTAACCATAACCAAGCACCTTTAGGGAATGCATCTAATATTTTAAAACAGAATTGGAAACATCCTATGTATAACTTTATATATTTTCTTTTATTATTTAATATTATATAAGCTTTCCTCTATATAGAAAAACAGGGTTGTCCTGTTGAGTTCTGGCTCTCATAGGTTTCACTGTAGTTCCTTTTCAATGTTCACCCCATTTCTTGACCTGAATAGTGATTAAATAAATATTCACTTTGAAATTATTCATTAAACTGTACACACGTTTCATGAACTTTCTAACATGTATTGAAATTGAAAAAAAGATCCAGAGAGCCCCGACCACCAGTTCATCCCATGCTCTCACTCAGCTCATGGGAGTGGTGGCCCCATTTTCTTTGACACGTGCACACAGCATGGCTGTCGTCTTTCCATTTCAAACAAAAACTCTGTGTTCCCCAAAGATGTCCGTGGGATTGGGAAGCTAGGTGACCTAAGGCTAAGAGGTGGCCGGGCTGTCATCTGATTCTTCTGCATGTGTCATTCATTCCAGTGGTGGTAGACTCAGACTTTGTGAAATACGAGGGCAAGTTTGAAAACAATGTGACTGGGACCATTGAGACGGCAATTGGAAAGATCAAACTGAATGTTGCAGGCAAAGGCCTCACGGAGAGCCAGTCTTCGTTTGGAACCCTGAGGAAGCAGGAGGTGGACTTGCAACGGCTCATGCGAGACTCTGCTGAGAGGTAATGAGAATTCTGTTTGGCATTTTGGATTCTGACACATCTCACATTTAAAGGTTGTTCAGTTAGACCTTTGTTAAAAGAGTGACAGATGGGAAGTTTGCCAATCAACAAATATTTACTGAATGCCCTTCGTGCTGAAACTTTATGGGGAACACGTCTTTAATGTGGAATTTCTTGCCTGTTCTTAACCAAAGAGGGGAGACTTTGGAAGCACTTTACAAGGATGTTACTTCAGATAAAGATATACTTTTTTCAGTCATCACCGCCAGTTGCTGTCATGTCATTTCTGACTCATGCTGCCCTCGTGTGTATCAGAGTAAAACTCTGCCTCTATGGGGTTCTTTTTCCCATGTAATAAGTTTATTTATAAACATACCCAGGTATGCTATATGAATTCAACAGTTTGATCCATTTTTCAAAGGTTGCACTTCTTAATATGCTCCTCTTCTTATCTGTTTCATGGATGAACTTAAACATTGTTATTTTTTTAAGCAGTTGGTGTCTTAGTGTAAGGAAACATGCAGCAAATCCAGATCCAAAATATAAAATAATGGTAATTAGTAAATATCACTTGTTTTCCACTGAAATGGCAAATTCTTCCCTCTGTCCTTCTCACAGTGGCTCCTAAGAACCACAGAGATGGTAAATTTATGCTCCAACATGGTACTGCTGGCAGCTCTGTGAAAGGTGCAGAGACTGAGGATGGAAGAAATAGCAGCACCAGTTCCTGCTCTCATGACCTTGTTTTCCACAGAGTTTTCAATGGCTGATTTTTTTTGGAAGTAGATTACCGTTGATACCTGTCCACCATGGGTGACCCTGCTGGTATTTGAAGCACTGCTGGCATAGCCTCCAGCCTCACAGCAACATGTTAGCCACCACAGTATGACAAACTGACAGGAGTGGTAGCAGTAGAACACCAGGCCTTTTTATTCTGAGGTACCTCTGGGTAGACTCAAGCCTACAACCTTTCAGTTAATGGCTGAGTGCATTAACCACTGGCACCAGCCAGGGACTCCATATGACTTACCAAAAAATGCGAATAGTGACAATGTTCTGTACTGCATTTTTAAATATTAAATTTAAACCAAAAAACCCAAGCCCTTTAGGTTTTGAGGACTAAATAGAACTGCCCTATAGAGTTTCCAAGGCTGTAAATCTTTACATAAGCAGACTGCTTCATCTTTCTCCTGTGGAGCAGCTGGTGGGTTTGAAACACTGACCTTTTGGCTAACAGCCAAATGCTTTAACCACTATGCTTCCAGAGCACCTCAAAAATACTAGAAGTGGGAAAATTGCAATGCCTTCTAGCTCTTAATACTTTTCAGATTAGGGAACGAAGAAAACAAAAGAAGAGCTTCAGGGAAAAAGCTGCTTTTCAACTTAGAAGCCTAAACTCCACATTTACTTAGGTCTTTGGCTTTCTGTAAATATATTTTACCCTAGTGTGTTGTTGGTTGCAATAGAGTTGGCCCCCAACTCTTGGCAACCTCATGTGTTACAGAGTAGAACTGCTTCATAGGTTTTTCTTGGCTATAATCTTTGTGGAAGCAGTTCACCAAGCCTTTCTGTCACACAACTCATCATTTTTAACTTAGCTTATTCAGTATTCAATAAATACTTTTTTTTGAACGCCTACTATGTGCCATGTTCTATGTGCTAGGGATGATGCAGTAAACAAAATACCAAAATTTCTGCCCTACATTCTCATGGGAAGATACACAAAATATGCAACTAAGCAAAAGATATAGTATGTTGATGGGGACCTGGGGTATTGAGGAAGATAGCAGGGAAGGGGGAGAGGTCAGCCTAAGGATGGGGATGTGGCCAGAGAAGGCACTAGGGAAACATTGCATTAGAGTAAAGATGTGAAGGAGAAGAGGGGATGAACATGGGGTTATCCTGTGCAAGAATGCTGTGGGCAGAGGCCCGTATTGCTGGCATGGACTAGGCCAAGGGAAAAGCAGTAGGAGGTGAGGTGAGAGAGGACAGAGACTGGACAGCTAGAATACGAAGAATCTGCAGGCCACTGGAAGAACTTTGACTTTTATTTGGAGTGAGATGGAGAATTTTGAGCAGGGAAGTCGCATATCTGACTTATTTTTTGGAAGGACCATTCTGGCTGCTGGGTTGAGAAGCAATTGCATGGGCAGAAGCAGGGAGTCTAATTAGAAGGTTATTGCAACAGTCCTGACAAGGGATGATATTTCAGTTTGTGCAGTAACATATGTGCATTTTCCTGTATCATTTAACCACCCTTCTTTCTTTTAAAGCAGAAAATTCAAATCCAAATAAATTCTGAGAACTCAACCAACCATTACAACAATTTAAATAAGGTGGCTTATCTCATTTTCCCCAACATTCTTAGGATTATAAGAAATACAAAATAAATGCTCATCAAATGAAATTATGTTTAAAAATATGAATGGAAAAAAAATTAATGAAGGAAAAATAATGTAAAATTCATCTATCAGGCATTTGGTGGGCAGATTTTATACCAACATTGAGAATGCCTGGGCCACTGTGGCCTTAAACCCTTTCACTGCTCCAGTAACCTCTGATGCTTCATGGAGGTGTAAGACCATAGCTGCATGTTTGATTGTCTTTTACCTCCTGGGCACCTTCCAGAACTCCAGACTATGCTGAGTTATGACTCCATAGGAGTTTCCTTTCATCAGAGAACTTTTAGCTGTCTCTGGTGAGACCAGGTGGAAGGGATAGCCACCTTTCTGTGACAGTGATGATCCTTATTTTTCTCTGAGCGTTTTACCTTTACTAGAGAGGAATTTTCCTTCTCTACTGCAGTGCTTGGGGGACATACTAGAAAAGCCTTCATTGTTTATCTGAAATGAAATTTTAATGGCATTCTGTATTTTTGTTTGCAACCTTTTCTATGGATAGGCTGAGAGAGTCCGGGGCCTCCCCAGTGCCTCTTCAGTTTTCAGACGACCTCCTATAGCTTAGCCCTATTTCGTAGCCTTCTTATTTCTATTTCAAGAACCACAGTTTGGCAATGCTCTATAACTGCATTTCCTGATATAGGTTTTTTAAATGCTCTTCATGATTCAGGTGTAGAAGACATTGCCAAGAGGAAGCATATGGGAGAGGTTAGTGCATGGAGACTGGAAAAAACATTCTGAAGTGAGAGAAGTGAGAGCCAACAGACACAACTGGAGAAAGGGAGAGAAGAGGGGGGTGGGAAGGAGCATCTACTGAGCTCCTACTAAGTGCCAGGCACTTTAGGTGTATCATCTCATTTATTCTATACACTTGACTCTCTTTATACTAGAGGGAACTAAGGCTCAGGAAGGAGAAATAATTTGTTCATAGTCATATAGCTCAATTTGGGTTTTTCTGGCTCCAAAGTTCCTGTTCTTTGCTCTAAATCGTGCTTGAAGTGAGTGTGAAGAAAAGAAACTGGCTGAGGTAAAAGTAGTTAAAATTATATCACTGAATGTAAAGAGAGAAGCATGAATCTTGGCCCCCAGTGATGGTATCTGGTGTGTAGTGGAATAGACACCATCCTGAGCAGACACAGGTGCTCACCTGCAGCCCAGACACAGGCATGAGTTCACCTGGGAAGACTGTCCAGAAATCCTATCAGTTGTAAAGGTGATTGGGGAAAAGCAGAAGTAACACCAGGAGCATGATAATGATGTTAAAGCCTAGAAACCAAAGAGGGGTCTTATCACAGGGTAACCCTTTCTTTGTTATGTTGTTAAAGATGAGTTGCAGGTGAGGGGAGGGGAGTGAAGACTCTCCCAGTCCTGGAATGGAGATCATATAAGGCTAGCATTCTTGTTATTTCACACTGGGGTAATAAATTCTTATTCATACTGTCTCCCTATCTTTGGATCCCACAACATCACGGGAACTGATAAGGCACCATTTGATACATTGGTGGCCTTGGCAGTGGTAATTAGTGATGTTTCAGTATGTTCTCAAGGACTTGTTGGCAGTCAGTCATTTTTATTTTAGGTAATTTAGATAAGTTGTCATTTGCATACAAATTATTTTAGACCTCAGAATTCGAAGCATTAAGTCTTGTTGTCTGAGAAATGTGCAGAAATATGAGCACATCTCAAAAACAAACTTCATCTGTCCTTGAAAAAGCATATATGTGTCAGTCTATCTAGCATTGTTGGGTAAGAAGGCATTCCACAGGCATTAACTTCCCCAGACCTGGAGCTTACCTCTCTGAATGAGACCTTCACATTTATCTGAAACATTCTTGATGGAAACCTTCTAAGAGATGGCACGTACTTTTTTTTTTTTTTTTTTTTTTTAAATAGAGAATAACAAATTAGGTAGGCCTTTCATAATGACTCGGATTCATGTTTTGTTCTTAACATTCCTTATTGTTCTGTAATAAACTCTTTAGGTTTTCTGCCTTATCTTCATGGTCACCTGGCATTTGTCACTGCCTTAAGTATAACAGCCATGTTCCACCTCATCCACCCATCTATTGCTTCTAATCGCCTAGGATCTGGGGAAGTTTATTCCTGGCAAATAACTTATGTGAACTTGATGTCACTTTAGCTCTTGGTCTTAGCTTCCCCAGCTGTTGGGTGAGATAGTTGGGCTGGATAATCTGTCAACAATCAAGTGCAAGCTGCAGTGCATGGGCTCCTTTGTCCTTGAGTCCTGAGCTTGGTGCCAGCTGATTTGGGGGCACAGGGCCATTTTGTGTTTTCCTGGCTGTTTGAGAGTTGAAGTGGGTGTTCAACTCTCATAAAGACAGGCCCAACTCTCATTTTTAGCAGTATTGTAAAGCAAATGTTCTCTTATAGATGATAACGAGAAGTTTTATTCTTCATTAAGAATTCCAAACTAAAGAAATTATAGTAAAATCTGTGAAAACTGGAACTTGTATAAGGCAGAAACCTGCCAGAGAAGGAAAAAATATATTTTCAATTAATAGAAAAGGTGGAAAACCTTCAAGACCTGGAAAAAGAAGGCAGTCCCATTAAGTTCTGGCTCTCATAGGTTTCACTATAAAT